CCGCCGCGACTTCGGGGCGCACAAGAGGTGGGCGGTGACTAGCCTCGGCGTGCTACTCTCGGCTGCACCGAAGAGTGGCCCCTCGCCGTGATTGCCTCTGCTGCGCGTCTTTGCAGGGGCCTTGGCATCGCTCGGACGTGTGCATTATTCTTTCGGCGAGGACCATCGAGGAGTATCCTTGACCATTTGGCGAAAAAACCACGCACGAAACCCAAACAAAAACACAGGGAATGGACGTCCGAGCGATGGCCAGGGGCGCCTGCGGCCCAAACTCGGAGCAGGGCACGTGCAGCTAGAGGTGAGGTGTTGGCCCCTTCGAGGGGGCCCCACGTCGCCACGGCCAGACGCAGCTCGGAGAGCCTATGCGTTTGGACCCCGGGAGGGGCCCGGGGACCGAGTCCGAGTGGCCGCTGTCTCAGCTGGCCTAGCGGCGGGGCCTAGCGCACATGAAGGCCCTGGAGGTGCAGAGCTAGGACGTTGCACGTGTGGACTCCGCGGGGGCTCGCCCCCCCCTGGGATGGGAGAGAGAGAGAGCTGGCCTTGCGCTGGCATGCCCCAGCACGCAGGCCGCTACCTGTCGCACCAGAGATCCCTCGAATGCCCTGATCACTGGATGCTGGAATTTCCCAGTCGCGACCGACGAGATCGGCCGCTCCCGATTTTGCTTCGGATTTCTGTATCGGTCGCGATCGAGTTGCTGCAACCTCGGTCGCGACCGATCGCTCGCGACCGATCGGTGGCTACCGCTCGCGCCCTAGCAAGCACTCGGTATCCAGTAACCTGGGGTGCCCGGGGGCCGCTCTTGCGCGCAGCCGATCCTCACGCCCTTGGCGCAGCGCTTCACCCTGCTCGTCACTGTCCCCGTCTGCATGGGCGCAAGGCTGCTGGTGGACGCCGTCGTCCACGGCCTCCCCTTCTGGCAGTCGGCCTGGGGCGCGGCCCCCGCGGCCTGGACCGGCGCGCCCTCGGCGCCGCGGGTGCTGAGCCTGGAGGGGTGCTCGAAGAATGAGAATGCTCGCAGGCCAGCCACAATTGGGGGAGCTGTGTTCCTTACCCCCCGGGGGGGGCCCATCGATCTCGACATCCCTCTCGAGAGGTCGTCGATGCGATGGGTTCCCCACAGGGGGATCAGGACCACAGCTCCCCCAGCTATGGCTGGTCGGGCTCGGATGCAGCTCCCTGGGAGGTCAAATCCCGACTTTGCCCTGGTCCGCACTCCAGCACAGAGACTTCCGGAGCTTCCTGCGGACTGCTCGCGGATCGGCGCTGGGACCCTCTGGCGGGGCGCCTCCGGCGCCGCCCCTACGGGGCGCTCCGCGCGCCGCGGGGGGCCCAGCGCTGCTCACAGAAGTCCGCGCGGGCCTCCGAAAGGTTGGGCTCGTGCGTGTTCTGCTCCTCCAGGTACGGGATCGCGGAGAACGCGGGCTTCGCCTTCTCGGCCTGGGCCGGGCTGTGCGAGATGCTGCTCTTTGCGTACTTGGTGGCCTGGTCGCCGGAGGCCGACGGCGCGCGGGGGCCGAGGGACTCGGCCGAGGAGTCGGGCTGCGAGGGTGCGGAGGCTGCACCCGAAGCAGGCGGCCTGCTGGCCACCTTCGACTTCAGCATTGCGGACTCGCTGAGAGCGTTGTCGTCTGCCCGTGGCGTTGGCACTAACGCGAAAGGGTTGACCGAGGCGCCCTTTGGCAACCTTGCTCGCTTCAAGTTGTCACCCTGCAGCGCGACCCAGTCATTGGGCACGTCGATCTGCAGATGTATCGAGGCTCTCTCGATCCCAGCGGCTTGCGTCAATCCGCTGACCCTTGCAAGGGCGGATTTGTAAAACTAGATTGCCCAGGTACTCCCCAGCAAGGCCCATCGGAGAAGAATAAGCAATACAGCCAAGATGTTGAAATACGGACTGCTCTGGATTCATGATGGGCCTCCCCTTTTCGGGCCGTTCCTTTGACCTAGTTCTGGGAACCGTTTCGTGGCCGACCCAGTGCCAAAGATGTGCGCTGCGTTGTTAATCTCGCTCGCCAATCCCCTTGAAAAAGGCATATGTGTGCGCGTTTCCCTCGCCCTATCACCCCTGACAAGCGGGTGTGGAAGGATTGCTATAGTGGTGCCAGCAAGCTTGGTCGTGGCGGTTGGTCTCACGTCAGTGGCCACCGCTGTCATGGGAGCTGCGATCGTGATCGTAATCCTCACTTGGGGGCTCGTCCTCGCAGGTCTTGCATGTGCGGCAAAGTCCAAACTTCAATCTGTTGTGGGGATCGGCTTGTGAGAGAGAGTTCGGGCGTCTTCGAGTACAGTGGACTACTAGCCAAAAAATACAGTGAAGCCAAGCATATATTCAATCAGTAGACCTGCCAAGCCAAATGATAGCAATGCTGACAGCGCGCCTCTCGCGGGCTGTCGAGCGGTGGAGGACGTCCGACGAGCGCGGCGCGGTGGCTGCGTCGCAAAGGCGACCATTCTGCCGGTGTGCCTCTCGTGGGATGCCAAGCGGCGGAGGCTGTGACGCGAGGCTCCCTCGGCCCGGCGGCACGCTGGGCCCAGCGTTTGCGGCGGCCGCGCACAGTAGCGACGGCGACGCCTTATACCAGCTCTCAGCGTCAGAGAAGCAGGCCTCGGACAAAAATAGCGAGCACTTGTGCCACACGCACCTGTCGAGGCCTCCCCCACCCCCCAATTGTTCAAAGCTGGCGGTGGGTCTGAGGAGCTGCACTCTGACCGCCGTCTCCTACGCCCGTGCCAGCTTTGAGTTTGGGGGGAGGGGGGGTGTTCGGTAAGCTGTTGCCCTCTACCGAAGGGCGTCCATTCCCAGAGGATCGCAAACATTGATCAAGGGGGCGTGGATTAGCGACGGGTCCCGTTTCCATGGGAAATCGTTAATTCCCGCCGCCGAACGAAGCGGTACTGGCCGCATTTTGGGGAGGGCACCTCCCCCGATCCATGGATTTGGCGCCCGCGCGCCAAATCCATGGATCGCTAATCCATGTTTGCGCGCCCCCGACATTCCCACCTGTCTGCTGGAGGGCGTCTCAGAGCAAGCGCAGGCAGACGTCGAGTTGCAGTCAATCCTGCGGTTTGTCACGCGCGGGAGGGCCAGCGCTTGCTTGACAACGCACCGACGGGTCGATCCGGCCTGCTGCATTTGATACTATCACTGCTGTGCGGCGTGTCTGGATAAATGCAGGGTCGCCTACGGTACGACTCAATGCGATTGGATTCGGGCATGTTCCTCTACAGGAGGAATCTCCGAAAGTAGACAGAAAAAGTCAGGGGACGTTTTTTTGATGATTTGTACGCAATGCTTGGCTATTTTTCGTTGCTCGTCCAAAATCCGCCTGTAGGTGGACATGCCCGACCTAACTATAGCGGGCGAAGCTGAACTTCTGCTACGGCTCCAGAGGGTATCATGCCTCCTGTGGAAAGGCCTCGGCTATGGAAGCTTGGTGTGGAGGGAGAGGGGGAGGATGAAAATTGAGGAGGAGCAGGAGGAGAGGAGGGGGAGAAGAAGAGACAGACGAGGATAAGCACAGGAGTGGTAGGAGTATGACTCGGACCAGTAGGAGTATGACGTAGGACGATGTCGATATCGGCCTGTCCAGCCCACGCCGGTTCCGACATCCTGGCCATCCAATGCGGCCCGATACCTGCACGCCGCCGTTGTGCCTGGCTGCGCGTCCGATCCGATCCGATCTCCACTCTCATGCCGATGCAGCCCGATCCGATGCAAACTCAAGTCGATCGGATGTCCCGATCCGATGCTGGCTGATCCTGGTCCTGTCGTTTTCACGATGGCCCCGACGGGCCAACCTGGGTCACCCGAACCCGAGTCCTACAGTGGAGGCCCATGCCAAGAAACACCCTGCTTGCCTCCAGGGTGCCCTGGGTTTCGCTGGGTCTCGATGGTTCTACGATGGAAAGCGTGACGGCCCCACAAAACATCGATGGACGTCCTGGGGTCTCAGGGTTGGGTTTCTTGTGGAAGGTTTCTTGCGGTCGGGCCTCCACTGTATGTTTCCCCCCACACGGCATCCCCTTTGCGATTCCCCTCGGAGGTTGATAGACCTCCTACCCTGACACGTCGATTAGTGAATTGGCCTTTTCCGGTTCGCGAGAGGGCGTCGCGGCCGTTGTTTTTACGGGTCCAGGTCCGTCGGTTTCGGTCTTAGGCCATTGTCATTACAGGGTGTTTTGCGAAAGGGAGGTTTGTCCACCGCAGATCCTCGCTCACGACGCGAGGGGGGGGGGTCCTCACTAACCGGCCCGCTTCGTGTCGGTGGCCCCCCTCCCGTCGGAGATCGCCTCGGAGGTGCCCCCTTTCGACTCGCCGCCTGGAGCGCCAGAAAGGGCTGCGCTCGTCCCTGGCAGTCCGTGCCGCCTGGCCCCTTTCGCGGGAGAGGGGGCGGAGGAGCAAGCCAGCGACGGCGAGCGCGCAGGCGGGAGGCCAGGGTCGGCGGGACGAGGGGCGGGCGGGCGGGCAGGCGGGATGGGGGCGAGGCGGGCGGGCGAGCCGCAGTGTCTGCTGCTTCGTCGGCGGCAGCAGCGCTCCCCCCCCCCACTCGGCCGCTGCAGCTGCCAGCCTACCAGCTCGCCGCATTGGCAGGGCCTGACCCTCCTCCCCCTTCTCCTCCTCCTCCTCCTCCTCCTCCTCCTCCTCCTCCTCCTCCTCCTCCTCCTCCTCCTCCTCCTCCTCCTCCCTCCTCCCTCCTCTCCTCCCCTCCTCGGCATCCTTCACCTCCCTCCTCTGCGGTTCAGGCCATTCGCGCACGGGCCCGACAGGCCGCATTTCGCTCTCTGGTCGCTTCGCGGAGCTGATGCTCCTGCTCCTTCCTCCTCCTGCGCGCGGAGCCGGTGCTCCTGCTCCTGCTCCTTCCTCCTCCTCTTCCCTCCTGCTCTTCCCTCCTCTTACTCCTCCTCGGCCTCCTCCCTCCTCTTGCTTCCTCCTCGGTCTCCTCGTCCTCTTTTCATCCACCAGCCAGAGCTGCCTCCCGGGCGCTGCCCGGTCGCAGGACGGCTGACGCCCGCGAGCGGGGCAGCTCGGCCGCGTTCCGCGGGCGCCCCGCATTCCGCAGGCGCCTCGCGCTTGCGCTGTGGGCCCGCGGCGGCGATCGCAGTCGCGCGGGCGAAGCCGCGCCCGAGGCTTACAGGGGGAATATTCAAGAATGGTGAAAATGATATGGGGACGGTGTTTCGTGCTCTTTTGACAATGTTTGATCTTTTATTCAGCCCTCGCTGCCCCCCATGCATCGGCCCCCCATTCATCGCGTTCCAAGCGGCTCCCGCGCGTGAGGCCAGGTCCCTCCCAAAGGCGCGATGAGAATTGCGCGTCGTGCGTCGCGGCCTGGGCCGGACAGTTGCTCATCATCTTCGGAGCCATCCCAGCTCCCCCTTGGGGCAGGGTCAGTCCCCCCAGCGTGCCCCCTCTGGGTGGGGATGGGCGCTCCGAAACCGCAGGAGACGCTTCCCATCCCCACCCACGGGGGGGAAGGGGTGGTAGATTGCCCAGCGGGGCCAAGGTTTCCCCGGTGGGGGTGGGGACCGTGTTCCTTGTCCAGGTTTGCCCTTCTGCAGGTTACCAGCCTGGAACATATCCCTATCCCTATGCTGGGCGTCTCCTCATCACGATGCCAATCTTAGGGATTCCCTTATTCCCCAAACAGCTTGCTGAACGGGGTGCTGTTGTGATAGAAGCTAACTCCGGCCGAGGGAAGTCGAAGCAGAGACATCCTCACACAAATTTCATGGTCCGGGCCGTTTCACTTGAGACATCCTCGCAACTCTCGTTTCTGAGTTGGCCAGGATTGGCCGTTTCGCTTGAGACATCCTCGAAAAGTTGCGCTCCGGGACGCCGCGCGAGAGGTGGTCCGGGCCGTTTCGCTTGAGACATCCTCGAAACTCTGAGCCCCGAGGTGCCGTGCGAGAGGTGGTCCGGGCCGTTTCGCCTGAGACATCCTCGAAAGTCTGAGCTCTGAGATGCCTTGCGCTAGGTGGTCCGGCCCGTTTCGCCTGAGACATCCTCGAAACTCGGACCTCGGAGATTCCGCGCGAGGTGGTCCTGGTCCGGCCCGTTTCGCCTGAGACACCCTCGAACTTCTGAGCTCTGAGATGCCCTGCGCGAGGTGGTCCGGCCCGTCTCGCCTGAGACATCTTCGCAACTCTGAGCTTTGAGATGCCGTGCGCAAGGTGGTCCGGCCTGTTTCGCAGAAGACATTCTCGCAACTCTGAGCTCCCAGATGCCGCGCAAGAGGTGGTCAGCCTGGGGGCCCAGAAGACCACATGTTACATATCCTCCCTGGGAACCTGGGAGCCCGCCTGAGACATCCTCGAACTTCTGAGCTCTGTGGTCCGGCACGTCTCGCCTGAGACATCCTCGCAACTCTGAGCTCTGAGATGCCGTGCGCAAGGTGGTCCGGCCTGTTTCGCACAAGACATTCTCGCAACTCTGAGCTCCCAGATGCCGCGCAAGAGGTGGTCCAGCCTGGGGCCCAGAAGACCACATGTTACATATCCTCCCTGGGAGCCCCAGGAGGCCCCAGAGAGCTCCAGGAGGCCGCAGGACGCCCAGGACAGGCCCCAGGGGTCCGTCCGCAGGAGATTCCAGGAGGCTCCCAGGAGGCCCCAGGAGGCCCCCTATCAGAACGTGCCAAGTTAATACACATCCTGTGTCGATTCGTTGATTTTTCCTGCTCTTGTGCCCCCCCCTCCATTTTGAGGGGCCCAAACGGCCACAGGTTAGATATCCCCCCTGGGAGCTCCAAGAGGCTTCAGGAAGCCCCAGGTGGAGTTCAGGAGGCCACAGGAGGCCCAGGAGGAAGCCCCAGGAGGTCCCAAGGAGGCCCCAGGAGGCACCAGGAGGCCCCCGCAACTCGGAGCTCTGAAACGCCGCGCTCGAGGTGGTCTGGCCCGCGCCCGAGACACCGTCCCGTCTCGCCTGAGACATCCTTGCAACTCTGAGCTCTGAGATGCCGTGCGCAAGTTGGTCCGGCCCGTTTCGCTCAAGACATTCTCGCAATTCTGAGCTCCCAGATGCCGCGCAAGAGGTGGTCCAGCCTGGGGGCCCAGAAGACCACATGTTACATATCCTCCCTGGGACCCTGGGAGCCCCAGGAGGCCGAGAGAGCTTCTGGAAGCCGCAGGACGCCCAGGACAGTCCCCAGGGGGGAGCAGGAGATTCGCAGGAGGCCCCAGGAGGCCCCTTCTTATCAGAACGTGTCAAGTTAATACGCAACCGGTGTCGATTCGTTGATTTTTCCTGCTCTTGTGGCCCCCCCCATTTGGGGGGCCCCGACGGCCACATGTTAGATATCCCCCCCTGGGAGCCCCAAGAGGCTTCAGGAAGCCCCAGGTGGGGTCCAGGAGGCCACAGGAGGCCCAGGAGGAAGCCCCAGGAGGTCACAAGGAGGCCCCAGGAGGCCCCAGGAGGCCCACGCAACTCGCAGCTCTGAGACGCCGCGCTCGAGGTGGTCCGGCTCGTTTCGCCTGAGACTTCCTCGCAGCACGTTTCGCCCGAGACATCGTCGCAACTCTGGGGTCCGAGATGCCGCGCGCGAGGTGGTCTGGCGCGTTTCGCTGGAGACATCCTCGCAACTCTGGGCTCCGAGATGCCCTGCGCGAGGTGGTCTGGCCCATCTCGCCTGAGACATCCTCGCAGCTCTGAGCTCTGAGATGCCGTGCGCAAGGTGGTCCGGCCCGTTTCGCACAAGACATTCTCGCAACTCTGAGCACTCAGATGCTGCGCAAGAGGTGGTCCAGCCTGGGGGCCCAGAAACCCACATGTTACATATCCCCCATGGGACCCTGGGAGCCCCAGGAGGCCCCAGAGAGCTCCAGGAGGCCGCAGGACGCCCAGGACAGGCCCCAGGGGTCCGCAGGAGATTCCCAGGAGGCTCCCAGGAGGCCCCAGAAGGCCCCCTATCAGAACGTGCCAAGTTTCATACACATCCTGTGTCGATTCGTTGATTTTTCCCTGCTCTTGTGGCCCCCCCCCCCCATTTTGGGGAGCCCCGACGGCCACATGTTAGATATCCCCCCCTGGGAGCCCCAAGAGGCTTCAGGAAGCCCCAGGTGGGGTCCAGGAGGCCACAGGAGGCCCAGGAGGAAGCCCCAGGAGGTCACCAGGAGGTCCCAGGAGGCCCCAGAAGGCCCCCGCAACTCGGAGCTCTGAGACGCCGCGCTCGAGGTGGTCCGGCCCGTTTCGCCTGAGACTTCCTCGCAGCACGTTTCGCCCGAGACATCGTGGCAACTCTGGGGTCCGAAATGCCGCGCGCGAGGTGGTCTGGCGCGTTTCGCTGGAGACATCCTCGCAACTCTGGGCTCCGAGATGCCCTGCGCGAGGTGGTCCGGCCCATCTCGCCTGAGACATCCTCGCAACTCTGAGCTCTGAGATGCCGTGCGCAAGGTGGTCCGGCCCGTTTCGCACAAGACATTCTCGCAACTCTGAGCTCCCAGATGCCGCGCAAGAGGTGGTCCAGCCTGGGGGCCCAGAAGACCACATGTTACATATCCCCCCTGGGACCCTGGGAGCCCCAGGAGGCCCCAGAGAGCTTCAGGAGGCCGCAGGACGCCCAGGACAGGCCCCAGGGGTCCGCAGGAGATTCCCAGGAGGCTCCCAGGAGGCCCCAGAAGGCCCCCTATCAGAACGTGCCAAGTTTAATACACATCCGGTGGTAATTCGTTGACTTTTCCTGCTCTTGTGCCCCCCCCCCCCATTTTGGGGAGCCCCGACGGCCACATGTTAGATATCCCCCCCTGGGAGCCCCAAGAGGCTTCAGGAAGCCCCAGGTGGGGTCCAGGAGGCCACAGGAGGCCCAGGAGGAAGCCCCAGGAGGTCACCAGGAGGTCCCAGGAGGCCCCAGAAGGCCCCCGCAACTCGGAGCTCTGAGACGCCGCGCTCGAGGTGGTCCGGCCCGTTTCGCCTGAGACTTCCTCGCAGCACGTTTCGCCCGAGACATCGTGGCAACTCTGGGGTCCGAAATGCCGCGCGCGAGGTGGTCTGGCGCGTTTCGCTGGAGACATCCTCGCAACTCTGAGCTCCGAGATGCCCTGCGCGAGGTGGTCTGGCCCATCTCGCCTGAGACATCCTCGCAGCTCTGAGCTCTGAGATGCCGTGCGCAAGGTGGTCCGGCCCGTTTCGCACAAGACATTCTCGCAACTCTGAGCTCCCAGATGCCGCGCAAGAGGTGGTCCAGCCTGGGGGCCCAGAAGACCACATGTTACATATCCTCCCTGGGACCCTGGGAGCCCCAGAAGGCCCCAGGGAGTTTCAGGAAGCCGCAGGACGCCCAGGACAGGCTCCAGGGGTCCGCAGGAGATTCCCAGGAGGCTCCCAGGAGGCCCCAGAAGGCCCCCTATCAGAACGTGTCAAGTTAATACACATCCTGTGTCGATTCGTTGATTTTCCCTGCTCTTGTGGCCCCCCCCCCCATTTTGTGGGGCCCCGACGGCCACATGTTAGATATCACCCCCTGGGAGCCCCAAGAGGCTTCAGGAAGCCCCAGGTGGGGTCCAGGAGGCCACAGGAGGCCCAGGAGGAAGTCCCAGGAGGTCACCAGAGGATCCCAAGAGGCCCCAGAAGGCCCCCGCAACTCGGAGCTCTGAGACGCCGCGCTCGAGGTGGTCTGGCCCGTTTCGCCTGAGACTTCCTCGCAGCACGTTTCGCCCGAGACATCGTCGCAACTCTGGGGTCCGAGATGCCGCGCGCGAGGTGGTCCAGCCCGTTACGCTGGAGACATCCTCGCAACTCTGGGCTCCGAGATGCTGTTCGGGATGAACAGGAGGTGGAGGAGGAGGAGGAGGCATGTTTTAACATGCCATGCCAGCCCGCACTGGACGGGCACGAAATCGACTTTGGAAACGACAGTGGGTCTAAGAGCCCTGTTTGGGGATACTGCACTCCGGCCATAATTTTTTGAGGGCGCATCCCTAAGATTGTCATCGCGGTTTTGGCGTGTCAATCTTAGGGATAGGGGATACGTTCGAGGCTGGTAAGCAGGGGGCGCCGCGGGGGCGCGAAGGCACC